TCTCTCTCTCTCTCTCTCTCTCTCTCTCTCTCTCTCTCTCTCTCTCTCTCTGTCTTCTACTTGGAACCTTCGAAAATATTTACACCGAGAAATACAAGAGGTCATCTGTTCGTTGAAAAAAATTATATAATACCGCCGCTAAACATCAATTTCACGTTCATACTGTTAATGTATATACAGGATGTTCCAAAGGAGACGTGTATCGACAGAGGAAGCTCTTTCGTTTTGTATAAATTCGCGCGTGTCTTTATCTTAACGTTAGAACCACCAAAGCAGTCCAAATGACGGGTTCGTAGTTTTTTCTAAAAGTTACTTATGTCACGGTGCATTTGATACTCGCAATTGACGTAGAACAAAACTGAAGAGAGCAAATCAACCGTTCCCCCTTGCATTTCTCTAAAAACCTGTCATTTTGACCACTCTGATAGAAACAGATCGTAAATCGTCGGCAATTGTAGCGTTAATCTTCCGGTAGTCGCGGTTACCTGAGAAGAACTAAGCGATTTCACTTCGGTACAGCACGAAGTGACGACCGAAGAGTGACACGCGGCATATTTTGCCTGTCTTCCTATCAGTCGTACTCACGATCCCAAAATTGTAAAGACTGATACAAGGTTGTCTCTTAAAAGAAATGCCGCGTTTTCCTTTCACATTAATAAAATGTTTCATGAAGCTTCCTTCCATTTCTGTTCCACCATAAGCCGCGACTAGCGGAACGTTAACGAAAATTCAACAGATCGCTCAATCACCGTGCGATTCTCGCGCTAAACGAGCTGCCCGATTGCTCTTATTCCGCGATCGACATTTCCCCTCTAACAGGATCTTACATTTAATCAGGACCTCTCGACACTTTGGGCCGGACGCATTTGTCCGGGAGAGACCAATCTCGGGATATAATCACGACCCCTGCTGTCGATACACACGCTTCCCGGTGGACTACAAACCGTCGGCTCATATCTCCTCGAGTTTAGCCACCTCCGGACAGACAGCCTCCGGCAAACAGTCGTTCCTCGCACCTTCGGGATCCCGTGGATCAACATCGCCGCTCGGCGGTAAACACCAACCCGTCCACCGGTCATGAGGGGGAGATTGCGAGTCGCGCCCTCGCAGACGGCGGGTCAACGAGTCTTACCTCAAAGCACTTCAGCTTCACTCGCACGCACGACCGTTCACGAGCGTCGCGTTTTCTCGCGATTGTCGGCGGTTCCTGTCTGTCCGTCGTCTCCGTCGGCTGGGTCGGCTTACGAGATGTTGCAGTCGTCGGCGTGAGCGTCTCGGATCTGCTGCTTCGTCTTCCTGGAGGCACGTCTGATCAAGCTGCGGCTACGCGGCTTGCTCTTCACCTCCTCGGTGACGGTGACCACGCTGGAGCCCTGAGCCGCGACCACTTGCTGGGGATTGCCGCCGGGACCCGCGCTGCCGGTCCTACCACCGGGACTGCCGGACCTGCCCTCGCGATCAAATGACAATGGATGAACATTAGAAACCATCGGAAGTATCGTGATTGCGCGGGGAGGTTTGTTACACGGAGTGTCAGATAATCACACAGTCATCTACACAGCGCTATTGCTCGAGGCGAAATTTTGATCCTACTGTCGGTCTCAATATTCCACTTGGCACCTATTTTGACATTTTGTAGCTTATATCAAGCTCTTTTGAACTTAATCCAGGTTGATTGATAAGTCAAAATAAAAATGCAAAAAAAAAACATTTTGTTAGCAAAACTCAACTTTATTCTTTAACATAATCTCCTTTTAGCTCAATACACCGAGTCCAACGAGTTTCTTTAAGCTTTCCAAATAATAAGAAGTTTCTATACCGCTAAAATATGCGTCTCCCATTCATGTGTTTCCCATTCAACCTCTTCATTTGAAGCAAATCTCTTTCCCTGGAGCCATCTTTTGAAATTTGGAAACAGGTAGAAGTCACACGGGGCCAGATCTAGAGAATACGGTGGATATGGGAGCAATTCATACCTCAATTCGTTCAATTTTGCCATTGCTTTTACCGATTTGTGACTGGTGCATTGTCTTGATGAGAGAGAATTTTTTTCTTCGCTAAATGAGGCCGTTTTTTCTTGATTTCATCATTCAATCGGTCCAACAATGATGCATAATATTCTCCTGTGATTGTTCTTCCTTTTTCAAAATAATCGATGAGGATTATTCCATGTGCATCCCAAAACACAGTGGCCAGAACCTTTCCAACCGATTGTTGCGTCTTTGGTCGCTTCGGAGCACTTCCACCCTTTGTAACCCATTATGCCGACTGTTGTTTCGATTCAAATAAATAATGGTGGATCGATGTTTCATCAACGGTTATATATCGATGCAAAAATTCCTTTGATTTGCGCCTAAACATGTCCAAACAATGCTGAGAAGTGCGAACTCGTTCACGTTTTTGATCGATTGTTAGCAATCGCGGCAATCTTGCAGTTAGCTTTTTCATACCCAAATTTTCGTGTAGGATATTGAACACACGTTCAGATAAGATGCCCACAGCAGCAGCTAGTTCACGCAATTTCACTTTGGGATCATCCAACACGATGTCATGGATTTTTTTCACTCATTTCTGGTGTAGTCACCCCATTTGGACGACCACTGCGTCGTGCATCCGATGTGCTGGTACGACCACGTTTAAACTCAGCAATCCAGTTATACACGATTGCATTCGACGGAACGGTTACACGGTTGCATTTTCCCAAAGTTTTTTGGAAGTCCTCAATCATTTCTTGCGGTTGCAAGCTTTTCAAATAGAAATACTTAATCACTGCACGAATTTCAGTTTCTTCCATTTTTACAAAATATCAAAGGTTACATGCTTTCGGTGGCTGTCATAAATATACTGATTGTCATAGTTGTCTGCAACTGTGTAGTGAGAGGTTTGAAGATTGGCACTACTGGAAATTCACGGCGCATTGGAGGTAGCAACACCACTAATGTGTCATTCTAAAGACTTATTAATCAACCTGGTATTTAACGTACTACCTTTGCCAAGAGATTCTCTTTAGAACGTACAAGCATTTTATACGTTTTCCACCCCAAATCATCAGAGCACAAAAAGCAATACACAGTAATTATTTGCTAATTATTTACTTTTTTTCTGCAGAAAGTAATTTTTTGCTGCAGCCATAAAAAAGATATGAGTGACTAGGTAGCTTAATATTAATTATTAATTATTAATTTAATTTTTGCTGTATGGAAATGCTTTTTTTAAAAGTGGCTAGATAACTTAATATTAAGCAAAAATCGAATATATCACGAATTTTTTGTTATTCTTTACTGTAGAAAGAAAATTGTTAGCTACAGCCAAAAAAATTACAAACGGATAGATAGCTTAAGAAGAGTAAAGTACTCTTAAAAAAGTGGATTGTTTCCACAATTGCATCGTTATATAGCTTGATTTATTTGCTTTCGATATTTGTTGGTCGCGATTTTTTTGCTCACGAAATACGATATCCAAACAAGCTAAAAGAAATACACGAGACCATCGCTACAAGAATAAAATGCTTTTAAAAAATGGATTGCAACGATGCAATTGTGATGGAAACAATCTACTTTTTAAGAATACTTTATTCTTAAACTTGTTATCCACCCATTTGTAATTTTTTTGACTGTAGCTAAACATTTTTTTTTTCAGGTACTCGTGGAAATTTTGGATAATTTTTCCTCAGCACCAAAAATCCTTCTACTCTTATTAATTGACAACTTTTCGCATAGCTCCCCAAATTTCACCGGATTTTTACTGTCGCGTAATCCTTTAAGAGATTACATGCGCAGAAAGCTCTCGAGAAGCGGAGGTTATTTCCACGCGGAACGCAGAGACTGACCCAGACGCATTTACCGGGCGCAATAGTTGAAAACTAGCCGGGATGCGATCTAATACGCAATGCTCTTTCCACGAGGATTAAAAATACACTCTACGCGCGCGAGCGTGTGTATGCGGTTCACACAGCCGCATAACGAAATAACCGACGACGCGGCACAATGTACAAAGTGCGGCGGCGAACAGAAAAAAAATTATATATATACATCAAGCCGTGGTAGCGCGAGAGCTCGAGTACTATCGGATATCAATAATAGTATATACGAGAGAGAGATAGAGCGAAGGATCGAGCGCGTTCCCGATTGTGCGACACAACCGCGCGGCGCCCAGCGTGCAAATCGTCGTCGTCGTTGTCGTCGTTGTCGTCGTCGTCGTCGTCGTCATTGTCGCCATCGTGCAGATTCGAATCGATCGCGAGATCATAAGCAGCGCCGGAGGTTTCGCAATTATGTTTGCGTCCGACGCGTGTCCCGACAGCGTCGATCGACGCGGACAGCCATTGAAAACTTTTTGGATTGGACCAGCTGTTTTGTTAGCGCGCTTGTCGATCGATCAGGCGTGCACAACGAGTCGCAATTAAATGGCGATTTTGCCAACGTGAGAGAAAGACAGATAGAGAAAGAGAGGGAAACAGAGAGAGACAGAGACAGAGACAGAGAGAGAGAAAGAGAGAGGGGGGGGGGGG